CGAGAGATATAAAAATATTTCACTTACGTCCGAATCGTTAAAGGCAAGATTTTCCTGGGCAAAACAGGTCCTTAATACCCGTGAGAAAGAGTAAAAGGAAACTGTATAGATGCGTTAGTGCTCATGACATGAGTCACCTTCGAAGGCTGACGACAAAACGGCAAAATTTTGTGGCAAGGCCACCACTTCAAAGTCCTTTAGGCGCTATCTTTTCGATAAAGAGAAACTCCTAAAATCGAGTAATGACTCTGAGGAGGATAGCGCTCTAGATGTCACAGTGGTGGAGAGAACTGAATCCACACTAACTACAGATGCGGGTAGAACAAGTTAACCTGCATCATAGCAGAGCTGCATCTGTCAGTCTGCTGCAATGCTTTAGCAACAACGAGGTTGATATGGTCCAGATACAAGAACCATGGATTTACAAGGATCTTGTATGGGGAATCAGGGCTGAAAACTACAACTTATTAATAAGCCTAGGATAAGCCTAGGTCCTGCAGGAAGTTTTAGATGTTATTTTTGCTACTGCCAAGCTTCACGAATCACTCAAGAACTAGAAAGTGTCTACTCAGCAATCCTTCTCAGACCACATGATTCTATAATTTACTTTAACCCTAAATCTAAGATCTACAAACTTAAAACGTTCAGAAATATTAAAAATACAAACTGGACGAAATATAAAGCAGCGTTAACTGCGCTGTTGTCAAGTATTTCTTCCGATCTTCCAAGGAACACTGTTGAGATAGACAATCAAATCCAGGATCTCACTTCAGTGCTCAATGAAGCTTTTAATGCAACCCACCATGGTGGAATAAAGACTTAGGTCTTTTGCGAAAGGAGTGTAGGAGACGTTTTTATAGGGCGAAATTAAACAATTGTGAGAGTAACAGGCTAGAATACAAGATCTCTCTACAAAAATATAAGATAAATTTCAGAGTTCGGAATGTGGTGCACAAAATCGCACACTGCACTGTGCAAGTGGAAATTATTTTTAAAATATGCACACGCACATTTGTGGTGTTAAGAAAAAAAATGCACCTACTCAAATTTGTTGTGCGATTTCAAATTTCACATCGCACAAAGCGATGATTGTGCACACAGATTCGTGCACACACATTTGTGCTGTGCGACTAACTTATAAAAATGTGCACAATCAGATGTGCGAGAAAATTTTATGCTCGCACCGCACTGTGCGACCAAAAATTCTCTCTGCACACGAGTGTGTTGCTCATATTACGATTTCACAAATGTGCACAAACGTGCACAAATGTGTAATTTTGCGCTTGCACCCAAGGGTGGAAAAAAATTATATGGATTTCACAATTTTGTTTGAAATAGAAAATATTATTTTGTTGCAAATTTTGAAAAAATTGATATTTGCGTTCGTTGGGATTGTAACTTATATTAAAAATTGCGTAAATTAACAAATATTTAAAATAATTATTTTTGTTAAGTAATGTTAACTAAAAATTATAACTGTCTTAACCTTATTTGTATTTTAACTTAAAATATTAGTTTTTTGTATATTACTTCCCAACTTTTGTGCATTTTTAAATGCAAATATAGTTAGTGAACTTAAAGTATTTGTTTGGAAAGTTTTGCACCAGTTTAAAAGAAATAAAATGCCCAAAAAATATGTATTTACATAGGTAATCTAACTTTTATTAAAAAACACGAAAGATTAGGAAAATATTTTTTTGAACAGGTAGCAGGTATTGGTATTGGTGTATTTGTTTAATAAATTTTGCAAAAGTTTAAAAAAGATAATACGGGAGGACCACAAATAGATATTTTTCTTCTCCAGAAATATGTATTCACTTAGGTAGAGTATCTAACATTCATTAAAAAACGCGAAAGATCAAGAAAATATTTTCTTGAACAGGTAGCAGGATTTTAGCGCCCTTTCTACTGTGCTAAGTAAGCAAAGATATAATTTAAGTGAAAAAAATATTTCAGCAATGTTATTAATAAGATCAAATGGAAATTTATTTCAAAAAATATGTAATAAAAATTATATATTTTTTAATAAGAAATTAAAACATTAAATTATTAAATTATTTCAATAACTTCGTTAAATTTAAACTGTAATTAAAGATAAAAAATTAAGTGAAATCTAATAATAAAATTAATTTATGTTGTTGTAAAAAATATTTAATTTGCTTTTTATAACCTTACTAACGAATCTTAGTGTATAACTTACTATTAAATAAAATTTTATGAAGTAGTCCAAAATTGATATATTTAATTTTTTCAAAGTACGATCCGTAGAACCGATCCTCTTTACTTATAACATTTCGAAACAAATACTCTTTCTCTATTAAATTCATGTACCTATTTAACAAAGTTTTCAAGTACATTGTGAAATTAACTTTATTCCCATGTTTTAAATTAATAAACCTTAAAATAATAAGTAATATAAGCAATAAATGTAAATCTAATAATAAATTCAAAATTAAAATATAAATACAAAATCATTTCTTCAATAAAATATTTCGTATTAAGACCAAAATTAATACAAATCAGTTTTACGTACTATTTTGCTGCGATATTTGTCATAATATTGTACGCTTTTAAATCATCATTTCACACAAATGTGCAGTAGACATTTCGTCTCCGCACATTTGGGTGCATTTTTATTTTCAAGTCTGCACACAAAATGTGCTCCTCGTATTCTTTTCTGCACACGTTGTGTGCGAGGGCAAGCTAGCTGCCGCACACACAATGTGCTGGGCAAAATAACTTCGGCACAAACACCGAATTGGTGTGCGAGTTTTATTTCACTCCACCACATTCGTGTGAAATGTGCGTTTTGTTTGTGCACACAAGATGTGGCACTTAAGATGTGCACAAAAATTTTCGCACACCACATTTGTGGTGTGAAATTTTATTTAGAATCGCACAACATTTGTGCGTGGTGTTTTGCATTTTTGTGCACAGCACAGCGTCTTTCTGAACCCTGATAAATTTACATAGGTCCAAGAGAACTAGTTGGCAGTCCTACTGTTAGGAAATAAACAAAATCTTTAGACTGCGTAAAATCTTATTCAAAAATCCACCCGTCCCTGAGTTACTCAAAAAATCTGATGGGAGATGGTGCAACAATAGTAGTAAATCATTAGAATTACTACTAGATAGTCACTTTCCAGGATCTTATACTTCGGTAATTGCATCCACAGAGTGCCTTAATCTCTTACCGGTTAATTCTATTAAAATAAACCTGCAGCTAGTTAAATGGGCTATTTTTAGACTTACACCCTATAAATCACCAGGACCGGATGATATTCATCCAATTGAGTCCAAAATTCCTGGACGCTAATACACAAGCGTCTTCTGACCATTTTTAGATATTGATTTATTTTGAACTATGTTCCGACTAAATGGAGGGAGGTTAGAGTAGTTTTTATACCCAAAGCAGGAAAAAGCTCACACCAAATGAACTTCGTCCAACAAGCCTCATGTTGAAGGCTCTTGAAAGAATCATAGATGGAGAAGTAAAGCGCCGCGCTGTAAACCCCAATCAGTGGTCCCCCTCACAGCACGCCTACACTAAGGGAAAATCTACGGAGACAGCTCTTCACTCATTCACATATAGAATTGAAAGAATCTTTCAATTTAGACTTTTGTCTGGTTGCTTTCGTAAATATTTAAGGGGCTTTCAACAATATACTCCCAACTGCAATAGTAAGTACGATCTCGCGTCTGGGTGTTGATGATGCGTTCATTAGCTTTATAAATCAGTTGCTAACTGACGGACTAACTGAAGCAACGATGGGCTCTTCAACAACGCGCAGAAGGATGAATAGAGGTACTGCCAAGGGGGACTACTCTCTCCTCTCCTTTGGATTATAGTGGTGAATGAACTGCTAATAAAACTGAAGGCAGAGGGCTGCGAAACTATTACATATGCGGATGATTTTTCGATAATAGTCACCAGTCAGGAAAATATACTACCATTCTTAGAGATATCCTACAAAACGGTCGTAATATCCTAAATAAATGGACACAAATATGTGGTCTTGGGGTAAATCCCAACAAAACTGAAATCGTAGTTTTCACCAGAAAGCATGTGATCCCAAATCTTTCTCTACCCTCTCTACGAGGTTCTGTATTACATGTGAAGGAGGAAGCCGAATTTTTTGTTTAACTTTTCGATAGGAAACTCACGTGGAAGAAAAATATCTCAGAGCGCGTTATGAAAGCCGATATTGCGCTTCTTCTATGTCAAAAAGCTATTGGTAAGAAATGGGATCTTCAACTATGCATCACTCAATGGCTCTATATAGCTGTTATTAGGCCCATATTGCTATACGGTATTACGATATGGTAGACAGATTTTGATAAATCTTCGGGCGCAATGCACCACACCATCCACTGCACTAGATTTCCTGCTTTAGTTACTGTCAATGCATATTATCAGTAAACAAATGACAACCTCATCTGCTCTTACACCAAAAGCTCAGTCCGTGACTGACTGTCTGATAGTATGTAAACTCCTTTAAAGTCCTTGAGTTCAGTCCAATTTACATCTAGGACGGTTTTTGACAGCTACGCATCTCTAAACATAATGTCGACACAGCTCAATATTTCCTGACACTAAATAGCATTTTATGCTTTAAACCCAGAGTTTTTCGCCTATATATACGGTAACACATTGGGCCATTAGGCCTAAGTGGATCCACTAGGAATCGCTGGTATAACCTAACCTAACCTAACACTATAAATGTTTTACTACGTTTTCTAGTCCCGCAAGCAATGTTGGTGCATAAAAGTGTTACACATCATTTTTAATTGTAACTTCGGTAAGTACCATAGTTCTAATTAGTGATGTCCAAATTGCAGTGCATCAATAATAAACTAAATATTAATACATTTTGTTATGTTTACAAACAAGTTGTAGTTTCAATTGGTTTTTGGAGTTTAAAAATTGTTAGTTCGTATTGAGCTTCAATTAATAGAAAAAAAATTTAGGTATTTGAAAGTAAATTGTTTAATATTTTTACCTCATATGAATTCCCTGTTCCAAAATAAATTGGAACAAATGCAAGCCATATTATACATGTAGTGTACATAGTAAATCCAATAAACTTTGACTCATTAAAATTTTCTGGTATTTTCCGGGTCTTAATTGCATAGATTGTGCATATTGTTATTAATATCATGTTATACAGTTGGGAAAACAGAAACGACATATCTTGTATTTTGCACTTCAGAATTACTTCGTTTCTGTCGGGGTAATAGAAACGAGTACCAGGTGGTTCCACAATCATCCAAACCATTGTTATAAGTACTTGGACAGCTAAAAATTCAAACATAATTAAAAATTATATCAATATTATAACATGAGTATGTTAAGAGACATGCCTTAGAAGTATGCGTTTTTAAGGTATAAAATAATAACACGGTAGCTATTAATAAACTATTTTTTTTTCGCTCTTAGGTTTTATAAATTATTTAACTTTGTGTGCGGTAAAGAGTAGTTTTTAACCCTAACAAATTCGTGTAAAATGTTTTACATCTAAAATTTATCTTAATTTAGTCATTATTATATGTTAAATATTTACATATTAAATCGTTAAAACATAACTATCGTAAATACTATTAAAATGTTTCTCAACCAAGTTCTTATAATATTTCCTACTGTGTATCAATGAATGTTCTGATAATACGTAGTGCGCATATATATTTGTATATAGTGTGTTATTATCAAGAATATGATATAGAAGAGTATAATATGTATGAATCATAATTTTTTCTATTGATATTAAATACGCTTTTTGGCACAAATATTTATAAACAATAACATTGTACTTTAAGCCCTAAGAAAATATAAATATAATAATTATTGAATAAAAGTTCAGCTAAAACTTATTATTTATGGGACAAAAAAAAAATAGTTTGCTTAATTACAAATTAAACAATAATACACTTGTTAACTAGAACTCACTAGAACATGTGTTAAAGAGGGAACTATCGCTATAGGGTCAGGTATTGTATAACGTTCTTCACTAGCAATAAAAATTGAAATTTGTATATCAACTAACCTAATTTGAAATATTTGTAATAGACATTACTATCACTTTTAATTGTTTACTTCTTTCTAGTAGATTTATCACATTTCTAAATGTATAACCCTTTCACATATCTAGTTTTATTTATTCTATGTATCATGTATTCTATGTACCTCAATTTAAATATATTAGGTGGTACGGTAATGGTTTATGGATAAGGCTAAGGCCTTTCTGCATTGTGACCAGCTTGATCTATTGTGCACTTCTTTGTAGTTAGACATCTAGTATCTTGAGGAATCAAACCAAATTCTTCGGAGGGAGTTTTTTTAGTTCTTCATTCTCTAGTTGGTATGCACTTGATATTTTGTTTCTTCTGTAGTATAGTGATTCACAGTTCGTGATCAATTGTTACGTAAACTCTTCCTCATCACAACAGAATATGCAAATATTTGTGGCGGATATATCTATTTTGTGTAGGATTTTATTGCAGGCAGAGTAGCCTGTTAGTGCACCAGAGAGTGACTGTCGACTCTTCTTGTTTGGATTGAAAACAATGCTGGGCCTTTTAGCTTTAAAATTCAGAAATTTTTTGGAATGACAAACCGTCTTTGCCATGCTAATATTTTATGATATTTTGTTGGATTAATTTTTTAATCTCTTTGTTATAGGAAATCAATATAATTAACGTATCGCTCTCTTGATGTGCTTTTATATATTTTACAAATTCGCTTTAAATCAGTTGCGTTTAAGATCGTTGCATGTTCGAATGCCCATATATAGTTGCTTGCATTGTTTAATAAATGCTTATTAATAAATGAATTAAATTGAACCTAAATCGTTGTGTAATTAAATTATTTGTTTTGAAGTTTGTTAGAACTTAGTTATTAATAATAATTTAATAAACCCTAAATTTTGTTGTTTGAATATAACAAATTTTGTCATATTGTGGTACAAGAATTGGTGCTTTGGTGGTCTGCGGATTAGTGCTGTGCGACCAATAATCTCCAACACTTTTGTTTTATGTTCTTGTTATTGAAGCCAAAAATTGAAGTTGAGCATGGACAGAAGGGAGCTAAATTATCATTAAGGGGCTAAATTATAATTTATTTGCTTATTTAACAGTTTTAAATGATCATTTATGGTCTTTAAATGACCGAATTTAACCCAATATGTGCGTCGTTTAGGTTTTTAGAAATGGTAGTGCTGCATATGCAAGTGAAACGAAATAAAAGATGGAACAAGTTTTAAGCTATTTGGTTGTCGAAATGTAAACAAAATATATTTAGAAACATTGGTAAATGTAAATACTCGATATAGTTTTATATATTTTATATTGTTTTTATATATTTATAATTAATTAAAGCAAGTTTCTTTAATTTTTCTTGCTTATCCATTTTGAATTTAAAATTCTTTCTTTTGCTTTTTCAATAACAAAAAACATATGATACAGCAACTTCTTAATGATAATTTATACCGTCTGTCAGGGTATTTTTAAAATTATCATTTAAGGCTGCTTAATCATAATTTAGTGCGCTTGTCTGTCAATGCTATTAGTTATTAATAATAATTTAATAAACCCTAAATTTTGTTGTTTGAATATATTGTGCTATAATTTTGTTATATTGTGCTATAAGAATTGGTGCTTTGGTAGTCTGCAGATTTGTGCTGTGCGACCAATAATCTCTAACACTCTTGTTTTATGTTCTTGTTATTGAAGCCAAAAATTGAAGTTGGGCCTATAAATGGCTCTTTTGCTCCATTTTGGCATATACGCCGGCCTTTTCGGTACCTTCTGTAGTGGACCTACCTCACTTACTTCTTAGCCACTTAACATTACTCATAAATAATAATAAGCAAATTTATGAATTGGTTGCCCTTCATGCATACCGTACAAGAAGCATAAGCAAAGCGACATAAACAAAAGAGTTTCATATTACCAACGAAAGTATTGACACACGCTGTTCCAATATTTGACGTTTGCTGAACACATGTTACAATACTTTCAATAATAATATTTCCTATATTGCAATAGACATGTGCAAGCAATATTGTCAATGCACTCTAATAATAACTTTGACGTTTGACCTAAATGAGCAAACAATGTAGTCGCAATGCAATGAATTCTGCAAGGTCAGCAATCACTTTGATTGGCTGCGGTTATACTTTTCCAGGTTTTATCTAGAATAAAGAGGCGGAGTCATGAGATCGCTATAATATAGAAAAATTTATAAATACCCAAACTATTGTTCAATAAAATAAGAATATACTTATGACTGCAGAAATATATGCGTTATTGACTTTATTCTCGCTCCTTTTGGCCACGTAACACTGGCCTAGGTACCAGCGGTAACAAGCCGCTTGATAACTTGTTCTTGATTGCATCAGTAGGTTTAGGATGCATGCTCGTATCAGGCAGGGATAATTACACGCACTCACAAGAAAAGTATTACGTCTCATTTTACCTGACGATCCTGTCTACATCTGAACGGGCTAACACATTACTTGGTGATCCAGCCATTACATTGATTAAATATTGCCCATACTTCCATTCATCCATTACACTTCGTATTTTTTGTGTTTGGATATCCAAATCGAAAATAACTGCTTGTAGATGGCCAGTTGATTGAGTGCATTGTTACACTCTATAAGGACTTTTGATGTGAGTGTGTAGCTGCATAGAGCTTTGAGGACTTGACTGTTTGATTGACTGTTTGAGAGTATTTCGATTTTAACTCTCTTAAGTCCTCTTTGGATAAGATCTCTGTGGTCTCTATTATAGCATAATAGTTCCGCATGAAAAATTGTGAAGTGTGTGGGCTAGTATGCCACTCCTTCCTTGATAGGAAGATGACTCTGTATCTCTTGTATCTCACCGTTTTCAAACCTGGTAAGAATTTGTAAGTGTCCAGTGAAATTTCCGTCCTACTTAAAGTAGTAGAAGAAGCCGTGGATAACTATATCAGGAATACTACACTGAAAAGAACTCCACTATACAGCTGCCAACACGCCTATTGGGCAGGTCAGTCCACAGAAACGACCCAGTATCAACTAAGATAACGATTCAAGATAACATGGATAAGAAAGAAATAGTAATCTGCGCTTTCTTAGATATTAAAGGAACATTTGATAACACTTCACATGAGATTATAAATTTACCTTCTTGTAGAAGAGGAATCAATGGCACACTTTCACTTTCAATGGATAAGTAAAATGCTCCGCACCAGCAGAGTGCAAATTCTGACCAGTAATGGCCATATTTTTGCAAATACTTAGCAGGGGCGTCCACAAGGTGGAGTATTATCACCTTTACTGTGGAGTATGGTGGTGGATGAACTATTGGTAAAACTGGATAAAAATGGCTTCTAAATCCAGGGATATGCCGATGGTGTAATAATAATCTGCATAAGAAAATTGGAATATATTTTGTGCGAAAGAATCCACTTAGGTCTAACATTAACAAAAGAATGGTGCAATTCGGTTGGGGTGAAAATAAATCCAGCAAAAACAACCAAATAATCACGAGGAAATACAAAATAAAAGATCTTAAACCCATCCGCTTAGATGGGTTAGAAATGAAACTTTGTGTTTGTGTTTTCATCATCTGATTTCATTTTATTTAAATAAAAAACTACTTATCGGCTAGTAGACAAACCAAATGAAAAAGGATGGCAAAAAATCCTTCTACTGAACCCTCCACGAGGGTGCCGTGTGGAAATGGGTCACACAGTTTTCTCGTCCTGTACGTTGTCAGGACGGTGCCCAGTTAAGATCAGGAGGAATTGAGTGAATGTCCTTAGCTCTTTAATAGCTAATAGCTAATCCTTAGCTCTCTAATCAGATGCTTTCTGATCATGGTTTGAAGGTCCCCTTAACTCGGGAATGTTACGCGATCCGTGCTCACCGAGTGTAGGTTCGCAGTCAAGCGGTCTGTCCGACTGTTTTTTTGCGGAGCCTTTCCAATATATGACCGCTTTGGGGAGTAACTGTGGTCTAGCCATGGTATGGGACGCTGCTCTGGTGGTCGCTTCTTTCGTCCAACTATCCTCGGGTCCGCAGCGCCTGTCTTACCGGGTAAGGTGGACGATTATGCATATGATATGAATTCTTCTGATAATGTCTCGGAACTCGTGGCTGGAGTGTATAAACCCACCAAACTTACGGAAGACGAATTGCTGAAATCGGACGACGAGATCGTTGCCGATTCCAATACCGGTTGTACCAGTCACAGTACATCGGCGTCTAACCCAATCCAATTAACATAAAAAAAAAAATCGACAGCATTCCATCTAC